CTACTCTACCTGTGGCTGGGGAATGGTGGTGAGCAAGGCTGGGTTCCCACACACCATGAGGTCAGGTCTGGTGGGAGAACCGGGCAAGCGACCACCCACAGTGAATTCATATAGTCGCCATGGCCACAGTAAAACACTGCCCTACAGTCCCGGGAATGATATTCCAGCCAAGGACCGAGGGACGTGAGGAGCTGGCCAGGTGGAGGCAAGAGGAAGTGCCCAGTGATGGGAGTGGAGCCTGCCCGGGCCTCAAGGGAGGATACTGGGTGACTGGGGCCACCCGGGGTCGCAACATGAAGTGGCACCTTCTGTAACTGGAAATCGCAAGCTCACCTTTCCCGCAAGGCTGGCAGTATGTGGAGCTGCCTGAGCAGTCCTCCCTGGGTGTGCAGCTGGCAGGGTCCTCTCGCCAGGCTGACCTGCAAAGAATTGTGTTGAGACCTCCCTTGCAGTTTTCACATTTTCGCATTTTCTATCTTTTTAAAAAAAAATGTAAAAAGAGTTGCAGATCCTCCCATAGTAGCACCTGTCAAACTCTTTTCCCATCTTGTCCCTCGCTTCACCTCCCTTTCCTTCCACCTTGTGAACTCCGGCCCTTCTGATTCCAGAGGATTCCAGGTTTCCATCAACAAGTTTGCGTGAAGACAAGAAAAAGAAAAGCGTGTGTCTCTGTGCACAGCCCTCAGCAGCACCACAACATGTTTCCCCAGAGGAGCCCGGTACAACGCCAACATTAATTTACAGCCTGCAGATCCCTCGTCACCACTGTAATTACATCATTACTGGTGCCATTTTGGGGGTAGTTTTCAAAGATTCTATTTTGGTGGTTTGTGCACATTGAGTGCAGAGATGAGTTTATATTCCACAATATACAGACTATGCCTTGTCTACTTCTATATTAAAATTTATAGATCAATTGATGTCAACATAGATATAAGTACAAATCATACGGAGATAGAGATATATAGCTCACTCCCTCATTGCTTATTCCCATCTGCATTTCCTAGATGCACGCGGGAGCCAACTCCAACGTATTTGATACACTGAATATGCATGTCCTTAAATATGCACATCTCTTTGTAAAAGATGCAGTGGTGTTTGGTAGATATACATATGCCATAAATTATGTGAGTTACATCAGACGTTAAGTCTCATTCTGTTTCTTCTTCGTTTTCACTTGACCATAAGTTTTCAAGATGTATCGTGTTGCTCTAGCTACAGCTAGATTATTGCTTCTCAGTGCTGCCTTGTGTTATCGCACAGTTTGTTTCCACCTTATTTTATTTCCAGCATTCTGTAATGGACACCAAGTTCCCACACCTTGTTGTATCATAAACAGACAGACAGGCAATCCCCTGTGAGTATCTCCCGATTGGGTCTGGATCAGGGTTCCTCCAAGACGCTTAGGAGGAGTTGGGCGGCTGGTACCAGGCCAACCCACACACTGCACTGGGCCGAGTCCTCTGGGGTGGCTGCAGCAGTCCACACCCCAGGGCTCCCGTTAGCCCACAGCCTTCTCAACATGTGAGTCCGTCCCTGGTCTGATTGTTGCTATTCTGTTGCATGTAAAGCACTGTCTTGTTTTAATTTTAACTTGCATTGTGAACATGTTTTCGTGGATTTTTTTAGTCATTTGGACTCCCATTTCTGTGAATTGTTATTCATTACCTTTATTCACTTTCCTATTGCAGCGGTCTCTCTTTTCCTTGTGTTTGAAGGAATTCTCACTGGCTTTGCCTGCTCCTGTTGGCTTTCCCTACTGTAACCCTCACTGAAAAGAAATCCCTAATTTAGAGGTAATCTAACGTCCACCTTTACACTTTAAGCTATGATTTGACAACTTTGTTCCAAGTAAATATTTGCTTAATCTCTGCCATCCCCAGCAGACTCCAAGGCTAGGAACCATGGCAGTCTCGTACCACTTGGTGTCTAGAAGAGCATTTATTCATTCGTGAATAACTATTTGGGGGAATGAATAAGACCAGCACCTGGCACATTGTACACACTCAGTAAATGGAAGCTGCTATTTTGAATGAATGAGATTTTCTCAAGGGAAGGCTCTAAGTAAATGTAATGCAACAATCTTCTGCAGAGAGAAACACAAAATCAAAACCAAGAAAACGGAAGCTAAAATACCAACAAAACTCGGTAAGCAGGAGGGACCTCCTGGATCTCAGAAGAGGTTTGAATGTTTCCATTGAGCACAGAAAGCCTTTGTGATGCATGGATCCAGCTCTCTCTCTGACTCAGGAATAGCATTACCACTGCAGGGTCTTTGTTTGCTTTGGCTTTAAAATAGAAACATGACAGTTACGCTTGGATGATGCCGAAGTCAGGATGATGTGCCACGTTTGAGTGACTCACACGCAATACAGTGAGACTCTCCTGCTGGAATCCCTCTAGAATCTGTGACTAGCTCCTCTAATTCCAGCACCATGTTCCGTGAGCACACCATTACCTTCTCTGGATTCTCTGGGAGTCATCTGTGAGGTCTTAATCATTACAATTGGATTGTCTTACTATCTAAAGTTTTATAGAAGGAAAAATAAATCACATATTTAGCAGAGTTTCAGGAAGGGTCACCCACCCCCATTCTTTCCCCTACTATTGGGAAACTACCCAATGTCAGAGAGTAGCACAGACGTGGGACACAGGTCAGGCCCTGATGAGGCCAGTAAGGATCAAAGGACATCTCAGGAGGATCAACTTCCAGCATGAGGGGTTCCACTGAGCCGGTCCCCAGGAAAAACGGTGAAAATTGGTTTAAAATACACAATCAGTAAAGACTTCCAAAAATAGTAGCAAAAAGCAAATGAAGAGACATGTATTCAAGAAAACGTATAAAACATTGGTGAGAAAGGCACATATCTAGGCATACACTCAGGAGAGTCTATGGTGTTAGAACCAGGACAGCTCCCTTCCTCCTTGCTCCTAGTTAGGTAAGGCAGAGACACCACTCTAGACTGCCTCAGCCAACAACACAGGGCTCCCTCTCCCCTCTGCTTCCAGTCAGAGAGCTTTCTTTCTGCGAGGAGTTGGATGTCAGCATTTCTCATCCTGCCCCCGCCACCTGTTGCTGAGGCTAAGTACTGGGTGAATGCAGTCGAAAAGTGGAGCCTCTACTCTTCCTCCCAGATTCCTCTCTTGAATCCAGCTCTACCTTGGGCACAGTGCACTGAAAGTACTGCAGCCTGACAGCAACTCTTCCAACTTGGGAGGTGATGGTTCCACAGCAGGAGAACACCCCAGGATGCCCCCACCCCGGCCACCCTGCCAAGCATTCAGTTCCTGGAGTGGGGGTATCCCTCGGAAAGAAGCTTGTCATTGATTGTCCCTACCCCCAGCTCCAGAACTTGGCTCAGAGATTTTGCCTGGAGGCCTGGGGGAGGGAAGAAGTTGGAGAAGAAGCAGGTCTTAAGCAAATAACTCCTGTGTCTTCCCCAAGGAACTGACTTCATTTATAACAGAGTGTGCAGAAGTTCAAGCTTAAGGGCACTCTTCAGAATGGTGGAGGTTGTGGTGAAAGCAGTTGGGAAGAGATTCATAGGTTTAATGAACATACAGCCTAGACTGTAGGCTGGCTGGCTTGTAGGAGAGAACTGGTGAATAAGACAGCCGGAGAGGAGCCCTCCTAGGGTCAGAACAAATATCAAACACAAATCTGAGACTACTTCTGAAAAGGAGCCATGATTCCACTGGTTTAAGTTGAAGAGCAATTTATGCCCTTAGAACATTACTGAAAGGAAGCATTATACAAATAACCAATAAGTACATGAAAAGATGCTTGACATCATTAGTCATCAGGACGTTGCAAACACAGATCACAATGAAATCCCACTGCATACCCACTAGGATGGCCATAATAACATAGTCAAATAATAACAAGTGTTGGCAGAGATGCGAAGAAATTTGAACCCTCATGCACTGCTAGTGGGAGTTTAAAATGATGCAGCCACTTTGGAAAACAATGTGGAAGTTTCTTAAACAATTAAACACAGATTTACCATATGACCTAGCAATCCTACTCCTAGGCATATACCCAGGAGAAATGAAAACATATGTCCACACAAAAACTTGTATGTGAACATTCATAGCAACATTGCTCATAACAGACAAAAGGTGGGAAAAACCCAAATATCCATCAATTGACAAATTGATAAACAAAATGTGGTATAGCCATGCCATTGTATAAAAAGCAATGTAGTACTGATACATGCTACATCATGGATGAAACTTGAAAACATGCTAAGTGAAAAAAACAGTCACAAACACCACATATTATACAATTGCATTTAGATGAAATGTCCAGAATAGGGAAATCTATAGAGACAGAAAGTAGACTAGAGATGGTTTAGGACTGGGGGAGGCATATGGGGAGATAGGAAGATGAGCTGAAAGTTCTTTCTGGGGTGATGAAATTGTTTTAAAATCGGCTGCAGTGATAGTTATACTAAAAACCGTTCACTTGCAGACTAGTTAAATTTTATAGTATGTGAGTTATATCTTAATAAAGCTGCTCTTAGAAATCTTAAGTTGTTTCCATGAGTAGACATATAGAACAGTCTCATTTTTATGATGACTGCATAGTATTCCACAGCACAGATGTGCCATGATTTTATCTTAACCATTACTGTAACAACGGATACTCATAGTCTCTGAGTTTGCACTACTACTGACAATGAGGTAAAGAACGCCTTGGCAGTACCTCCTTGTGTTCATATGCAGACATTTGGTGGGCTGTTTTCCTAGATCTTTTAGCCCACAGAAGACCAGAGTTATTGCTAAAGATTTTTAAAGTTAGATAAATAATTGTCTTCTGAGAGCAACATGACAGGGCTTTGTCTGTTATGGCAATCCTGGCTCAAGCCTTCTCTGATTGGTTATCAACATTTATTCATTTGGCTCTTCCTGTCATCCTTAATTTGTAAGATTTATTAAGGATCAACTTTAGCCAGACCTTCAGCTGCATGCTGAGGATCTAGGCAGGATCTCAGGCTGGGGCAGGGTCGCGGGGTATGGGTAGGGGTGGTGAACAGGTGACTGCAACACTCTCTGGTGAACACCAACCACTCAACCCAGCTTCCTGAGGTGCTCTGTCCTCCAGAATGGCTGGCCAGCCAGGCTCACACCAAGCCCTTGGCCATCGCCATGCCCCACTGACAGACATATCTAGTCTTCCCACATAAGACTTATAAGAGTAATCGTGGCAACATATGCTTAATAACATGAAAATACACGCTACACACACACACACACACAAAGTCTAGGAGCACACAAATGCCCATCACTAATAGAAGGATGGGCAACTGTGGCATGAGCATCCAAAGGAAGAGCAAGCGAGCGGCACAAAGCTGCAGGCTTGGAGTGTGTGGGTTTGCTTGCGTTCGTGTGGAATCGCTCCACGCGAACACACGGGGCACGGCAGCACCCCTAGAAAGGGGCCCAGATGACGAACAGGGTGGGAGAGACTCACTGTTCAGTGTACCCTCTGCATCTTTTGAATTTTGTACCATGTGTATATTTAAAGGAGTAACAAGATTACTCCTTCAGGGGCTCCCGTTGCCCCCACAGTGAAATCACACTTTCGACACATGATGAGACAGCGTCTTCACCTTCTCCCAGCGCGTCCTTATTTCACTTCTTCCTTCTTCCTGGGCGCCCCTCCAACTGCACCTCCTGGGTGGAGCATGGCCTTTCCCTCACTTGCATCTGCCTCTTGGCCTTGGAAGTACCCTCAGGCCACTCGGAGAAACCTCCTCTGGCCCCTCGTCTACTCTGGAGGACCCTCTGAGCTCAGAATTCTCCCAGAGGAATATCCCTCATCCACACTGGCAGTGGGGCCACCAGACCCCACCGTCCTGCTTCAGGGCCTGCAACATGGTAATGTCGACCAAAATTAAGGCTGCTGAGGCAGAAATAAATAGATGAAGGTTTACTGGACACCAAATGTGAGGATCATCCAAGGAAGACATATCAGCAGAGTTAGGCATGCTCCACAGTCGGCCACAGGTGAAAGGATTTTCTGGGAAGCTGAGGAGAAGGGAGGGGAGGACTCATGCTGGAGCTGTTGTCTTCACTGCAGGCTCCAATGCAGAGGTTTGGTCATTGGCCACAGACAGCAACACACAGGCTAAAAGTCCCTACATGCAAGACAAGCAGCAAAGCTTCATGATTTAGAAACAAATCAGTGTATTTTTCAGTGTCAGTGGGTTACATATTTTTTTTTTATAGACAGAGTCTTGCTCTATCACCCAGGCTGGAGTGCAATGGCACGGTCTTGGCTCGCTGCAACCTCCTCCTCCTGGGTTCAAGTGATTCTCCTACCTCAACCTCCCAAATAGCTAGGATTACAGGAACACGCCATCACACCCGGCTAATTTTTGTATCTTTAGTAGAGACGGGGTTTCACCATATTGGCCAGGCTGGTCTTGAACTCCTGACCTCGTGATCTGCCTGCCTCGGCCTCCCAAAGTGCTGAGATTACAGGCGTAAGTCACCGCACCCAGCCAGGTTACCTATTAATCTGTACTTCAACAGTTCGAGGAAACTCACAACAAGATCTGTAGGACTCAGGATAAGATCACTCGGGAACAGGATGCAAGCCATGAGCCTAAGGCCTCCCTGAGGGAGCAGTGTGGCAGCTGCCAATATCGGCTGCAGGTTATCAGCGAGCACTCGGCGCTATTTGTCAATGTGTGCACAAGGAGGATGGAGAGAGAGAGGCAGAGGGAGAGTGAAGGAGAAAGAAGACAATGAGTGAGAGAGAGAACACAGAGTGAGATGGCGAGAGAATGAGAGAGAGTGGGAGATGGAGTGAGTGGGAGTGAGACGGGGAGAGATGGAAAGAGTGAGACAGTGAGGGAGACAGCAAGTCGCCAGTCCCAGGCTCAGTTCTGCGGCTTCCTCCTAACCTGCTGAAAGCCCCACAGGCACTACAGAGAGGCGAGCTGACCTGCCTGCCCCAAGTCTCCAGCTTGTAAGACTGGCCTGGGACTCAGACCTGATTCCAAATCCCAGCCTCCTTCAGCTCCCCCACCCGGCATTCCAGAAGGCTTCTCAACCCCATGCAAGAAGATTAGTGCCCACTAAGGTGCCTTCCTGGGCTCCCTGGGGCCCCTCAGCCTCCATCCTTCTGTCAATCCTCCCTCAGGCTGTCTCTGCACGCTTTTCACCATTTGGACTGACAGAGGCTTAGAACATTTTTGTTTTTGTTTCGATTATGTCCATTATTTAAACATTCTCCCTGGAGATTTGTGACAACAAAAGGTGAAAAAGAAATTCACTAACCAAGTTATATAATAAGGCACTTTATTCCAAAAATTCTAGTGAGATATTTTAAGTTGTTACCACTTACCATGGCTTTCTTGTGGTGTTTTCCAACTTCGGGTATTTCAGCTACAAAACAAAATAAAATAAAATGTTATGAATCCTCAGTTCTGTTCTTTGGAAACACGGGCCCCCCTGATGGAGCCTGAGTCACAATCCCTACCATTACGCCCTCTATGATCTGGGAGGGAAACCAGAATAAATATGCTAGGATGCAGTAAATGAGACCAGAGAAACACTTCACCCGTACGGGAATGTAAGGCACAGCCACCTCGGCCCAGTGCGGGACACTCCAACTGCCACTGCAGCATGGAGCTGCCTGTCCTCAGCCTGCCCCGGAGCTCAGCTCTGCCCTGCAGCTCAGCTCTGCCCTGCTCACTCCCACTTCCTTCTGATTTTCAGCTCTCCAATGCATTATATGACACTGTGAGTTTAATTTGCATTTCTCTAACGACCAGTGACGTTGAGCACTTTCCATGTGTGTAAGAGCCATTTGTATATCCTCTTCGGTGACGTGTCTGCTGAAATTTTTGGACTATTGTCTTACATCTTCATAACCATTGTTTATAGGGACTATCTCCACTCTCCTTCCTTCATGCCTTCATCAAAATCAGTTGTTCATACATACGTTCATCTCTTGATTTTCTACCCTATGCCGTTGATCTATTCATCTATATTTAGTGTTTTGTTACTACAGCTTTACAATGTCTTTCCATTTTCATTCAGTTTAAAATGCTTTCTGATCTTCCTTTTGATTTGTTTTGACCCTTGAGTTATTTAGATGTGCATTATTTAATTTCCAAACGCTTGGGGATTTTCCGGATATCTTTCTATTGCTGATTCCTAATTTAATTCCATTTTGGTCAGAGAACATGCTCACTATGACAGAAATCCTTTCGCATTTACTAAAACTTATTCTGTGGTCCAGAGAATACTTTATCTTGGTAAATGTGTCATGTGCACTTGAAAAAAATGTGCATTCTGCTAAACACAGGAGGGTTCTATAAATGTCAGTTAGGTCACATTTGGTTTCCAGTTTTGTTTCTGTATTCTTACTGATTTTCCATCTACTTGTTTTCTCTGTCTGTCGCCCAGGCTGGAGTGCAGTGGCGCAATCATAGCTCCATAAGCTCGAACCCCTGGGCTCAAGTAATTATCCCACCTCAACCTCCCAAATAGCTGAAACTATAGGAATGTGCCACCAGGGCCAGGAAATTTTTTTTTTTTAGAGACAATGTCTCACCATGTTACCCAGGCCAGTCTTGAACTCCTGGGCTTAAGCAAAATGGCCACCTTGGTCTCCCAAAGCACTGGGATTACAGAGGTGAGCCACTGCACCCGGCCCTGTGTACTTATTTTCAACAATTATTTAGAGAAGAGTGTTGAATTGTCTATTTTTTGATTTAACCATTACCGCTTGCAGGTTTCTGAGTTTTTGTTGCATGTATTTTGAAGCTGCGCTATCCGTTGGATAAATGTTTAGGATAGTTACGTGGTGACTGTTTGACCCCTTCGTCATTATAACATGACCTTCTGTGTCCATGGTAACATTCTTGCTCTGAAATCCACTTTACTTGGTTTATCAAGATGGTGACTCCTGAATAACACTGGTGTGAAATGTGTTCCATTCTTTCACCTCTGATCCAATGTTGCCTGTGCCTGTGTGCACACTTGTGTGGTTGGCGCTTGCTTTTTAATCCAATTGAAACAATCTCAAATCTTTAATTGGGCTATAGTTTAGGTTTGTTTCATTTAACCTAATTATTGATCTGGTTGGGTTTAAAGCTAGTATCTTGTCGTTTGTTTTATCTCAATCCAATCAGTCACTTGTTTTCTGTTTCTTTTTTGGCATTTTTGATTAATTAAGGATTTTTTACATTTTCACATTATTTCTTTTATTGGATTATCAGCTACAACTATTGTGTTATTTCGGTAGTTGTGTTAGGGCTTACTCTATACCTCTTTTCACAGTCTATGCACTAAAGTGATATTATATCACCTCAACTGCAACACAGGTTGGGTATCCCTTATCCAAAATCTTGAGACCAGAAGTGTTTCAGATTTCAGGTTTTTTCAGATTTTTGAATATTTTGAAATATTAGACTTCCTGGTTGAGTATCCCTAGCCTGAAAATTTGAAATAAAAAATTCTTCAATGAGCATTTCCTTTGAGCATCATGACAGCATTCCAAAAGTTCCGGATTTTTCTGGAGCATTTTGAATTTCAGACTCTTGGGTTAGGAATACTTGCCCTGCCTATGACCTTTATAACCATATACTGTGTTTTGTCTCCTGCATTTGTGCTAGTCTCACACGGCTTACCTGTCCATATTTTACAAATCCCCAATGCACTGTTATTTTGTTTTAAAAAGTTGATTCTCTCTTTTAAATAACATTTCTATTGCTTTTCATCCCTTTGTGTAGACACACATTTCCATCTGGTGTCACTTTCCATCTGCCTAAAGGACCTCCCTTCACATTTCTTGTAATGCAGGTCTGAGGCTCATCGGTTCTTTCCATTTTTGTGTGTTAGGGGGAGGAAGGTCTTTATTTCATTAAGTGAAAGATATTTTCCCTAGGTAAAGAGTATTTTCTTTCAGCACTTTAAAGATGTTCTTCTATTGTCTTCTCATTACATTGTTTTTAATGAGAAATTTGCTGTCATCCTTATATCTGTTCCTTTGTCCCTAATATTTCTTTTTTATCTGACTACTTTTAAGACTTTGCCTTATCACTGGATTTGAGCAACTTGATTATGATGTGTCTTGGTGCTGTTTTCTTTATATTTCTTATACTTGGAGTTTGTTGAGCTTCTTGAGTCTATGGGATATAATTTTTAACAAACTTGGAAAATTTGAAGAAAATTGTATTCCTTAAAATGTTTTCTGTCTCCCTCCCCTTCTACAATTATAATTACTCATATATTTGAATATTCAACCGCTTAAAGTTGTCCCACAGCTCACTACTAGTTTTTAGTCTTCTTGTTTCTTTATTTTTCATTTCTCTCTGTTTTGTATTTCTTGATAGTTTCGCTCCTTGTCTTTAACTTCTCTTGTCATTTTCTCTCAATTGTCTAAACCATCCTATGTATTTTTATCTCACGCATTGTAGCTTTCATCTCAAGAAGTTTGGTTTGGATCTTTTCTAAGTCTTCTTTGTATCTAGTTAACATGATCGACCTCTTCCTCTATTATACTAAATATATGACATATTGTTATACTTGCTTTGATGTCCTTGTCTTCCAATTCTATTGTATCATTTGTCATTTCTGGATCATGCTGGTTGATATTCATCCTCACTGTGGGTCACTTGTTCTTCTTCGCATGCTGGGAATTTTTGATTGAGTGCCGTGCATTGTGAATTCTACTTTGTCAGATGCTGTATATTTTATATTCCTGTAAATAGCTTTGAACTTTGTTTTGAGTTTGATCTTTTCGATCTTGCTTTTATGCTTTGCTGAGTGGGATCAGAGCAGCATTTAGCCTAAGGCTAATTGCATCCTCCATGGAAGGAAAACCCTTCTAAGTACTCTACCCAGAGCCCCCTGAATTTGTTTTCTACTCTGGCTGGGGTGAACAGGCACTATTCCCAGTCCTGTTTGATCTATGGAGAATGCTTCCTCTAACGTCGTATGAGGCTCTTTCTCTTTTCTATCCTCTGACCAGTATAGCTGAGTGGTAGGGGAGGACCCTCTGCAGACCTCCACAGCTCCCACTGTGTACCCATCTCTCTCCTGTGAATTCCAGCTGCCTCGGACTTCCTAACTTCATCTCTGTTTTTTCATCTTACTGAGTGTACTGAGCTTTGCCTGGCCAGTTCCTTTTACCACCTGTGTCGTGCGCTGGGCCTAGCGCAGGGCTCCACTCACCTGCTTCCCTGTTCTCATGGATCATTCCCCTTCATTACCTGGTGCCTGATAGCTTGACAACTGTTATTTCAATAATGTGTCCCATATTTTTACGTTTATCAAACAGGAGGTAAATTGGGTCCTTATTACTCTATCTTTTCCAGAAGTAGAAGCTATAGAAATGTTTGTGTCATCCAAAAGTCACACAGATGAATGCTGGCCATGCCATTCACACCCCATCTCCAGGAGGTGATGCTCTGTCAGCTGGCAAGAGTCTGGCTTGACACGCAGATGAGGACCTCAGCTCTCTGAGTTGATGTCATTAAACACCAAGTCAGTCACATCCTTTGGAAGTCATCTGTAACTTAACTGCAAGGAGGGAATCCACAACTCAGATAGATGTGAGTGTCTGGGGCACCAGTAAATTGGCAAATCTGTGATGCCAGGCTCTCCTGTGAGCTTCCAGAGCCCAACCCAACCTTGGGAATGTAAGGATGTAGGCTTTCTGAGTCCCCAGGCTCTGGGTAGATTATCAAGGTGACAGCAGCTGTCAGGAACTGACCCAACTGCTGTTCCTCATGCAACACCCAAAACACATTGCACGTCATCATGCCTAACATTCTGCAAGCTGCTGCGTATGACAGGGTTATTCAAACAGTTGGACCTTATATCTCTAAAGATCCAAAAACTTCATGTTAACCATTTTGATGGAGTTTATGCTAATGTGTCTATTTTAAATATTTTAACAATAACAGGCCTAAATAAATGAGCAACTAAAGTTACACACTATTGTCAGCACAGTAAAGAGAACATAACATAACCCCGCACGGTCATGCTTCAGGATCGCAAGCACCCTTCTGCCAGAGGGCGTTAGCTCTGAGGACCCGAGAGGATGACAGCAATTGGAAGATGTCGGTTCCTTCCCATTTCTATGAACACCAGTGAGCTGCGTGGCATACAGCCAAGTCCATGGCCCTCTCTGTCTCCACTGCCTCATCTGAAATGATGGCAACAGAACCTTCCTTTCCCGGGTTGTCAAAGTCCACGGAGAAGCATAAACTGATTCGCATGTGAGGAAGTATGCAGGTGCAAAGGCTCTGGTCTCTGTATAACAGCATGCCATCCAGGCCACACTCAGCAGAACCAGTCATCAGATGCCACCAAGTCAAATAAAATGCTTCCCACCTGAGGCCTTTGCCTCTGACAGTGTGTTTCCTTAGGGGAGATATTCTGTTAAATGAGAAAGCATATTGCTTAGAGGGGCAGTCTGCAAAGGCTCTTGTTTTTCTGGACAAGTTATCCTTAAAGGGACAATCTGGGATTTCAGAAAATGGGACTAAGCCAGTAAGTGTTAGGTACTTAGGAAGAGAATTGAGCAAACAGGGCCTTCAGCAACATTGCCCTGCAAGCGGTAACCAAGCCGCCTTTGACGGAGACATTTCATGGGCAATTCTCTGCATCAGCATGAGAGGTCAGGTTGGCGCTGGTCCCTCAGAAAACTAAAACCCATCAGCTTGCCACGGAGCTCCAGTCTCCCTCCCCATTGTCCCGGTGGGAAGACGGGGCCATCCTGGGTGCAGCCTCACAGGAAGTGAGTCTGGAAGCTTGCAGGTGTGCCCCGATCCTCCCCTTTGCTCAGGCCTCTTCCCCACCTCCCACACCTGCCCACACACAGGCCAGTGCCCTCTCACTTCCCCTCTGCTCAGGCCTCTTCCCCGCCCCCCACACCTGCTGTGCCCTCTCACCACCACTCTGCCAACTGCCAACTGTTGGCCAGTCCATCTCCCTCACCATCCCAGACTCCTTATCCCCATTTATTCCCTGATATCCCCACGGCACCTAGAGTGCACTGGCCATCCAGGACATGCTGCTCAATGAAACTGACCTGACTCTCCTCTCATCCCTCAGATCCCAGTTCCTGTGGCTTCCAGAGTGAAAATTCGACAGCATCATCCCTGTTCAGCCCTTCCATGGATCCCTCAGGCCTTTGGGGGTGCCTACAGCCTCCCAGGCCTGGGCCCTGCCTCCCACACTAGCTGCATCTCTTACTATGTCCTCCTTGGGGTTCCCCCATTCCTGACCACCTGCAGTTCTGCAAAGATGTCCTAGACACAGCAGAGTTAGGGCATGGGGAGAGACAGCCCAACCTACATAGAGGAGGGGTGGGTAGCAGGGGAAGGAAAAGCCTTAAGATAGGCAGAGGAGACCACACTTCCTTATAATCAGAGTCAGATTCACTGTAGCAGTTTTTTTCTGAGTGGCTTATTTATTTACAAGCACTTACTGAGCACCTACAATGTGCTAGTACCTAGCCTAGGAAGTGAGTAGTAAACTGTGTCGCCCTCTAAAGGACAGCATTCAGCAGACACTGAGCTGCAAGCAACAACACAATAATGGGATTCTCAGAACAAAGGGCGCTCAGGGAGAGGGGAAGTTAAGTAGGCCTTGGTCTGGGCAAGGGACAGTGACATGGCTCAGATCTGTGCCCCCGCCCAAATCTCATGTTGAATTGTAATCCCCAGTGTTGGAGGTGGGGCCTAGTGGGAGATGATTGGAGCATGGGGGCGGATGTCAACCTTGGTACTGTCCTGAGTTCTCATGAGAAATTGTTATTTGAAAATGTGTGGCACCTCCTCTCTCTTCTGTCTTCCTCCTGCTTTGGCCACGTGAAGTACCAGCTCCCCATTCACCTTCCACCATGATTGTAAGTTTCCTGAGGCCTCCCCAGAAGCTGATGCTGCCATGCTTCCTGTACAGCCTGCAGAACCATGATCCAATTCAACTTCTTTTCTTTATAAATTATCCAGTGCCAGGTATTTCTTTACAGCAGTGCAAGAATGGACTAATACAGAAAATTGGTACCAAGGAGAGAGACACTGCTATAAAGATTCCTTAAAATGCGAAAGTGGCTTTGGAATTGGGTAAGAAGCAGAGTTTGGAAGAGTTTGGAGGGCTCTGAAGAAGACAAGAAGATGAGGGAAAGTTTGAAACTTTTGACAAAAAGAGTCAAACTCTGTAAAATATGTGAAGAGATTTCTGAGCCAAATATGAGTGACCATGGCCCACAGCCCTCAACAGGTCCTGAGAACATGTGCCCAGGGTGGTAGGGATACAGCTTGGTTTTATGTCTTTTAGGAAGGCATGATACATCAATCCAATACATTTAAGAAATACATTCATTTGGTTTGGAAAGGCAGGACAACTCAAAGTGGGGGCTTCCAGGTTGTAGGTAAATGTAAATGTTTTCTGGTTGACGATTGGTTGAGGTTGTCTGAAGACCCGGGATGGATAGAACAGAATGTTCTCAGGTTAAAGATAAAGGATTGTGGAGACCAAGTTTTATTGTGCAGAGGAAGCTGTTAGATAGCAGACTTTAGAGATAGCAGGTTGTAAATTGTTTTTTATTGGACTAAAAGGTTTCCTGGCTCTTAGTTGATTATCTCCTGGATCTGGGAAGAAAGGAAGGAAAACAAAGCAGGAAGGGGATTCTCTATAGAATGTGGATTTTTCCCACAAGAGACTTTGCAGGGCAATTTTAAGGTATGGCAAAGAAATATATTTTGCGGTTAAATATTTTTTCCTTGTCTCATAATGTTACGCCAGAGTCAGATTGAAAAGTGAGACATAGTATACAAGGTCAAATAAAATCCATCTGAAGAGAATATACGGTTTGTAGGGCATGACTCCCTAGACCCCTTAGGTAAGAATTTGGGTAAGATAAAAAAAAATCAGAGCTTAGTCATCAAAACTTCCTTGAGACTGCTTAAATTGTTGTGACCAAAATGCTGGTAGTGATGTGGACAATGAAGTCCAGGCTGAGGAGGTCTCAGATGGAAATGAGGAACTTATTGGGAACTGGTGTAAAGGTCACTTTTGTTCCGCTTTAGTGAAAAGCCTGGTTACATTGTGCCCCTGTTCTAGGGATCTATGGACTGAACTTTAGAGAGATGATTTAGGGTATCTGGTGGAAGACATTTCTAAGCAGCAAAGCATTCAAGAGTCACCTGGCTGCTTCTAACAGTCTGTGCTCCAATCTGCTCATATGCATGAGCAAAGAAATGACCCAAAATTGGACCTTATTTTTAAAAAGAAGAGCATAAAAGTTTGGAAAATTTGCAGCCTGGCCAAGTGGTAGAAAAGAAAAGCCCATTTTCAAGGGAGAAATTTAATCAGCTTGCAAAAATTTGCATGACTAAAAGGAAGGCAAATGCTGATAGCCAAGACAATGGGGAAAAGGCCTCAAAGGCATTTCAGAGACCTCTGCAGCAGCCCCTCCCACCACAGGCTCAGAGGCATGGGAGGGAAGGACGGTTTGGTGGGCCAGACTCAGGGCCCCACCGCCCCCTTCATGTGGACATTGGATCCATATTCTGACGGTGGATCCCTGAATGACTCCATGGAGCAGGCCACCTTCAAGCCTGCCCTGCCACTGATTAGACTTTTTGTGAGGCAGAGAAAAAAATGTGGACTATGATAAGCCACAGAGAAAGCAGGGTTTTCTGCCTATCAACTGCAATTTATCTTAAAGATATGTGCAAGAAGTTCAAAAGCACATAGAGGAAAAGTATAAACTATGCAGAGAATGTGTGGGGTGGGTGTTAGGATAACTTCTGGTGAGAGTGTGTTGTAGGACCGCCAGGTTAATAAACCTGCTCCACGGTAACAGAGCAATACACTGAGACAGTAGGGATGCAGCAGAGAAAGAGTGTAACGATTGTAGGGTATCAAGCAAGGAGATAGGAAGAGTCACTTAAATCCATCTCTCCCAGGAGTTCTGGGCTAGGGTTTTTAAGGGGAATATGGAGGGTGAGGGGCTGGAAAACTGGAGTTGTTGATTGGTCAGGGTAAGAGGGATGAAGTCATCAAGATGTGGAAACTGCACTCTTTGGTGAGTCAGGTTTTCATAGGGTCTTTCAGTCAGCTTTTCATAGGGTCTTTCAGACCAGCTGGCACCAGTGGGGTCCTACAGACCAGCTGGCATCAGCAGCATCCTTCAGACCAGCTGGCATCAGTAGTTTCAGTGATATACAGGACCTGCAAGGATATCTCAGAGGGAAACCTCAAATTTCATAATATTCAAGTGGTTATCTCTAGAGCAGTTAAGGGGAGCTCTAATCTTGTAACAGGATTCGTGCAATCCTGAGGCAACAGACACCAAACAGCTATGAGGAAGCAAGTCAGAGAGGAGAATGACCTACTGATCAATGCTGAGCATGGGGAAGGCCGTGTTTAATTTTGTTTCTGCCCCTCCCTTTTTTCCTGATTAATTTTATAAATGTTATAGGGACTGTTTCACACATACAAAATTGCTGCTTTGCATACACGCGTTTTTCTGAGGAGCTGGTTGACCACAGTTGTCAGATTTTTCATAGGGTCAGGGATCTAAAACTGCTAGGATCGCTGCCTGATGTTGTCTTATTTAACCGTGCGAGTTAGGCATTATTGAAGCTCAGTGATCTAGGTTTACTGAGCTGGTGCATTCATCCATTGGTGCACCACACATATTGGACATGCTCTCTGCTCCCAGCAGCCTCCAGCCCCTGGAGTGCACTAGAGAGCAAGGCAGCCCAGCCCTTGCTGTGGGAGGCCGTCGTGGGAAATACGGCACGCATCTGAGGAGCATGCCAGTAGAGTGGCAGCATCGGGAGGACCTGTTATCCGGCCTTGTGCCCAGTGGAAAGGCGCTTTTAGAGAGGAGGGCACAGCAGAACTGGAAGGGTGCTGCCCACAGAAAGGGCCCCATATGAACCCCCAGCAGCAGGGGGCAGGCCCAGGGCTGCCAAGAGGAGGCTCTGGAGCTCCAGGAAAGGGCAGAGGAGCCGGGGAGGCCGCAGAGCTGAGCTACGAAGTCTCTGTGGAGACACTGTTAGAGAGACCATAAACATGAGCACCCCAACCCAAGCCCAGCCCCACCATCACACCAATAGTTCACTCAGCAAACCACCTGGGAGCCCTCAGGCCCTGGGAGCAGCCAGAGGAAGCCATCTCCAGGTGACTCTCTGTCACCTGGCACTGGGCTCCTTCCATCCTGGGAACCACCAGAGCCTGAGTTAGCCTGGCTGGGGCCACCCCAAAGTGCCCTGTCAGCACAGTCTCCCAGGCCTGACACAGGCAGGAGCAGGCACAGCACTCACCACATAATGGGCACCTTTGATCTCCGCTCTCCTGATCACGCAGAGCCAACAGCAGCAGCCTCGCAGCACTCAGAACTCGGTGGGCTCAACATCAGGGCGGCACTTGGCTGCTTTGATGTCTCAGTGCCTGCCTGTTTGAAATGGAAAGTTGTCACATTAAGAAGATTATGCAGAATCCATTTGTCGCCACCCTTTTCCCACTATGGTGAAGTCTACCCACCACCTTCCATTAAAGTCATAGCTGAAACAGACAAAGGTAATGGAAAGAAGTTAAGGTGTCAGAGGCACCTGTGGTTACCAGTTTCTTAAAATGTTAATACAGTTGTCTCTTGGTATCCACAAAGGATTGATCCCAGGACCCACGGATAGCAAAATCTACAGATGCTCAAGTCCTTGGTAAAAAATGGCATAGTATTTTCATATAACCTACACACCTGGTCCCATATGCCTCAAACCATCTCTAGTTTACTTGTAATACCTAAACAATGAATGCTATGGAAATCATTGTCTTACTGTATTGTTTAGAGAATAATGATAAAAAAAAAACTCTGCACGTGTTCATCACAGATGCAAATTATTTTCCAAATATTTTCAATACCGCAGTTAATTGAATTTTATGGATGCGGAACTCACAGATTTGGAGGCCCAACTGTACAGTAGCCTTCAAATCCCTGCCACAACCCAGGAATTCTGGCATTAATGTGCCAACGCTTCCCGGTGAAACTGTCTAGTGACATTGATAAAAGGCAAATTTACGACACATTCCCAGCCAAGCATGCTGCCTCACGTCCGTTATCCTAGCACTTTGGGAGGCCGAGGTGGGTGGATCAACCGCGGTCAGGAGTTTGAGACCAGCCTGGTCAACATAGCGAAAGCTCATCTCTACCGGGCGTGGTGGCGTGCACCTATAATTTCAGCTACTTGGGAGCCTGAGGCAGGAGAATCACTTGAACCTGGGGGACGGAGGTCACAGTGAGCCAAGATTGCGCCACTTCACTCCAGCCTGGGCAAAAGAAAAAAATTCTGTCTAAAAAAAAAAAAAAAAAGGCCATCCCCAAACAGCCAGGAAGCCATGCAGGCTGCAACGTGTGAGGCATGGACCCAGACACTGCCTCTGCACTCAGTCTGTGTGTTTTGTTGGCTTGGTCGGAGTATGAGAAGAATATTCAGCCTTGTGCAGATACAGAGTTAGAAAAGAAAGGAGTCTTCCAGTAGCCTTTCGGATAACTGGATATTCTGTCTAGGTTTTACACCAAAGTTTGTTAAGTGGTACTTCCTTAAAGGTTAGTTGCAATTGTGGAACCTGAAACCATACCAGTAGAATTGTCATACTTGGATACATTAAAATTCATTGGTTTGTCTCACTTTGAATGGCTCTTTTAACCATGCATGATTTTGCAGCATTATGCACAGGCCATTTGGGAAATATTGGGTGCCTGAGTTGAGCAGACCTTCCAAACACACATCTGTGAGAGAATGACAGTGAAAAAGGCAAATAATGTGTCAGTATTATCATGAAAACTGTTTTGACCTCACAGCCCCCTGAATGTGTCTGGGATCCCAGGTGTTCCCAGACCAACTTCGAGAACTACTGCCCTCCAGAATCCCTTGCACGTGCACACCAGCAGGTACTGGAACATTCACAGCAGCTATGTCATAACTGCAAACACATGGCAACAGCTCGCGTGCTCCTCAGGACCGCAACACAACAATCAATCATGGCAAATGCCCACCATCAAACACTACACAAGGTAAAATGAAGCAGACTTCTACAGCCATATCCATCACCACAGGTGAATCTGCAGCACACAATCGGGAGAGAAAGCAGTGAGCCACAGGGCGAGGGAGGGTGGTCCCAGCCTCACACAGTCCGAACAAGGGGAAAGTGAGCAGCAGATGGCAGGGATGCACCTGCTGGGAAAAATAAGCCTATTTCTTTTTCTTTGTAGAGATGGGGTCAAACCATGTTGCCCAGGCTGGTCTTGAACTCCAGGACTCAAGGAATCCTCCTAGCTCAGCCTCCGAAAACGCTGGGATTACAGACTTGAGCCACCACACCCAACCAGGCTATTATCAACACAAAATTCTAGACCATAGGCACCTCTGCCAAGGAAGGAGGAATGGCAAGTGTTAGTAAAGTCTTGTCTCTTAACCTGGGGTAGGTACTCTAGGGCCTGTGTTGTTATTCTTGAAATGGCACGTATTTTACACTCTTTTTATATAATGGGGACATTTCACAATAACAACCGTTGAGAATGAGAATAAAAAAGAATAAAAATGAGAATGGCTAGATAGTCTGGTGGGGCCTGCTGTCTCTGAGCTGTGTCACTGTGCAAACTGGCATCATGAAAGCCGTCTCCTTCACTCACTGAAACACATAGAATCATGCCGTTTGAGAGTTACTTGAATCTTCTGCAAAACCAAGGGTTTTCTTCACCGAGCACTCTTCACAGCTAAGGGAGGAGCTGCCTCAGTGGGGAATCCTACCTTGGCCACATTCTGGTCACCTAAGTCACAGCCTCTCACACCAAGACATGTGGGCACCTGAGTCCGCTGCCTCACCTGTGGGCTCCCGAGGGCAAGAACCATGGGTCACCATGGAGAGGGTGACATGAATGAGCAGCAGAGTCCCTGGCAGGGTGAGTGCCTGGAGAATTTCTGGGGAATGACGGGTGGGGCTGGGCAGCCCAAGGGCAGAGCTGCAGCCCCTCTCCCCCGGTGTGTGCTCTGTGCAGGTTGAGGTGATGAACACACCTGTGCTGCCCGTCCAGGGCACTCCCCTCCTTGTCAAGGGGTGACCACCCACCATGGCCATGAGTGTCAGCCTGCGTGTGCCACGCTAATTCCACCCACTTCTGCACACTGGGGAGGCCTGTGGCAGGTCGAGGAGTTTCATAATAACCACAGCTACTGTATTCACAAGAAGCAAACCATAATCGGTGCTGCGGAATCAGGAGGACCAGAGAGAGACCTTGGGGTGTATACAGGAGAAGATCTGTATTGAGTGCACTCAGATCCAGTGGACTTAACATCCAAAGACTGGACCCAGAACGACGACAGCACTTGACTTTTATACACACTTCTAAAAATGGGGGGTGGGTTGGCTTGAAGCAGGTTTACAGTTACAGTGGCACAAAAGCAAGGATACAGAGGCAGAACAATTAATCAAATTGTGACAGGTTCATAACTCAGGACTACACATGACCATTGCCAAGCAACCCAGATGTCTGTTACCCAGGTTTCACTCTAAGGAGCTTACACTGGTTTATCTCATAACCTTTACTGTGACGCACAGATAGCTCTCAGGCTTCTCATGTCCTTTGTTGTACTTCTTAGATAAAACAGAATACTTGAAGTTACTAGTTACAGAGAATAAGAATCTATAAACTCATTCCATAAAACAAAGGAAAATTTGTTTTTCTTCTCCCTATGTTGAGGGAGTGCTGGGAGAGTCTCTAAGGCACATTCCTTTGCGTCCTGGCTTCTTAGATAGTATTATTGAGACTTTCTCTGGGTCTGGGCTGTGCCCCTTGCTGCCTCTAGGATAAGTCAGCCTCATACAGGAAAGCTTATTTCTTTCTTTTTAATTTTATTTTTCTTTTTAATTTGCCACCTCACAGACACCTTTTCACCCATCAAGGTGTCTCCGATGGCTTGCAGGGTGCCCAGGCACAACCCACTACTCATGATACTTATTGACCATTGACACGCCAGGCACTGTGCTGGTGAGAACTGTGCCCAGTGGCCAGTGTGCCAGAGTGCCTGATGCCAGTGCCGAGCTGTACCACATCCCCTTCTAAGAGCCAAGCACGCTGCAGGGGCATGTCTGAACATTGGACTCCACTGGAGGTCTCCCTGAGGAAAGGCGTGCGGGGTGGCCTCTGTCCACCTCATCCCCAACTCCTGTGCTGTGAGCTGCTGGGCGCTCCTCAGCCTCGCCTTCACCTGCACTGGGGCTCTTACCTTCTCACCTGGGCCCACCCCTCCCCCTCATGCTCAGCTTGGCCTGGCTGCTTTCAGTGCTTAGTTAGCTGTCACCTCCTCCAGGCAGCCCTCCTCTGGGCACTGCCCTCCCCTTGCTTCCATCTACCTCAGCACATTACACATACCCTTTTCTGTCCCCTCTGTGCAGGGAGCTCCCTAGAGGCAGGAACAAGGTCTTCTGTGTTCCCAGGGCTAAGCACGGGTCTGGCTGGGTAGGTGTGACATCGTTTTTGAATGAAATAAGGAATGCAGCAACTCCTATCTCCTCTGGGGCCTCCCAGGCCCAGTCATGGCATGAGGACAGTGGATTGCTCAATTCCTAGAGTGCTGGGGGGTTCGATGGCAGGTGCATGAGAGGACCTTGAGGAGGTCAAGCTATCCCCATTCCCTGCCACCTTGTGGAAGTTATGCAGGCTCTGGATAGTACAGGCCACAAACCTAAAACCTGAGCTCAGACTCTCCCACAGATGCCAAGAGGGCTGAGGGAACTGCCCAAACCCAGGTCGCTCCCTCTGAGCACAGCCAAGCCTGTGCAGGGAGGTAAACGGCCCCACCCCAGGTGCTCACTGCACACCTGTGCTGTGTCAGGGGACACAGGCCCAGGGACCAGCCCCAGGATGGCAGACGAAAGACACACCAAGGGACCTCACGAGTCCTTCCAGGGTCATGGCCAGAGCACACAGATTGCACTGCACCATGTTAATTTAATGACTCTGAACTTTTTTTTTTTTGAGACGGAGTCTCGCTCTGTTGCCCGGGCTGGAGTGCAGTGGCTGGATCTCAGCTCACTGCAAGCTCCGCCTCCCGGGTTTACGCCACTCTCCTACCTCAGCTTCCTGAGTAGCTGGGACTACAGGTGCCCACCACCTCGCCCGGCTAGTTTTTTGTATTTTTTAGTAGAGACGGGGTTTCACCGTGTTAGCCAGGATGGTCTCGATCTCCTGACCTCGTGATCCGCCCGTCTCGGCCTCCCAAAGTGCTGGGATTACAGGCTTGAGCCAGACTCTGTGAACTTTTTCTATTTTCCTTCTCCATAGTGTTTCCCCACATGACTCAGAACATTAGCAGGGAGTCTCAGGTGGAGAGACTCAGATGGTTAGTTTTACGTGTGACTTGGCTGGGCCATGGTGCCCACATACGTGACCAA